AACCATGAAAATTTACTATATGATAAGGGTGACATCTTAAAATCACTGATGCGAAGACAAATTGCTTAACAAATGGTTCTGGGACAACTGAGAAGCCATTTAGTAAAGGATAAACTTAAGCATATATAGCACAATATTCACACACACACACACACAAAACCAAGTAATTTGCTCAAGGTACTCAGGCTACCTCCTCAATTCTCATTCAGAAGACATCAATTGCAAAGCATCATACTTTTCAACTATTAATTTAAACCTTTCATCATTCAATAATTAACAAAAGCTATCTCAGAAGTATATACCTAGGACCATTATTTTGATCCCTTATTTAATAACTCTTACTGGATTGTCCTTTGACATTGTTATCAATCTATGCTCAAATATGGAAATCACACAATACCATGAGCTGCTGCCCTTCTTTTGTACAAGCAATACATTTTTATCCAAGGGAGAAGAGAAGCCTAAAACTGACTGTGTTTCGTTGTTTTGCCCCAGTACAAAGTTCAGATTCAAGTTTGCAATTAATTTCTAATAAACTGTACAGAACGTTGTGGCTGTGCTGTGTGGAAAAGGTTTTTCAGGCTCAGCTGAGTTTTTAATTCAAGTTAGAAATTATGTTACTGGCCCCCAGTCCCTTCCCTGGTTACTCTTCACAAAACTGTTTGAGTATCTTCCTTCTGCACACACAAATTCCTCCCACTTTTGGGATTTAGTCTCCTACTTACAGAGAACACAGACCCATCCTATTGACCTCTTTCAACATCTCTCTTCTTGTGAAACAAACCTGTATACTTGTGCTCTGCATAACTTATTTATTCTCAATCTTCCTTGCTTTTTAAAAATGCACTGAAGTCTGTGAATTTCCCTTTAGGGTTTGGGTGTAGCTTTAGGTACAATATTGGATTTTATAGTTACTCAATTCTAAATATTTTCTAATTTCCATTGTGATTTTTTTTATTCTCATGATGTTTTTAAATTACTGAAGTTTATATTACTGCTCTTAATATTGTCAATTTAAAACTTAATTATACTGTAAACAGAGAATGACATTCACCTTCTGGAGGTGAGTGTCTAGGAGTAGTATTTTCAAATCTTGTTTCACAAGTCCTAAATAATTTCATCTATTGCAATTGCTTCATTCAATACATCTATGTGGAGTACTATACCAACATGTTTCTCTAGTTCACTCTGAGTTTCAAGTCTACAATTTTGTATACATTTATGAGACTAATTTCCTGTATATCCCATAGGCACTTTAGCCCTAACAAAATTAAAAGCAAAGCATTATCTCCACACACCCTAGATATATTCCTCCTTTTTTATTCTATTTTTAGAATGAAGATCTACATCCCCCCCAACTGTTCAAACCAAAATTATTACATGCGTCTTTTATTTCTTTCTCACATGAGTTGAATGAACTGGACTGTGATTCAAGTGCCATGAATCATATTTTCTAATTATCTCTTGAAGCCATCCTTTCCTCTCTATTTTTACAGGCCCTCATCACTAGCCCCTTGGCCTTACATTATCCTCCCAAATAGCCACAGACTTGCCACCTCTCCCTTTTCTCCTCCTTGTCATCTCTCCCTGTCTCCTTCTCTTCTTTGTTTCATCTACCACTTATACATTCAAATACATTTCTGATAATTGTATTCCTTTGTTAAAAATTTGTGATCACTGACTACAGGATAAAGTCTAAATATAGCACAACATATATGATTGTTTACCTGCATCTACTTGCATCTACTATGCAAGGAGAAACATTTTAGGCTTGATATATGATTAAACATGCTATTTTAAATTCTTAGACATACAATTCTATTAAGAGCCTAATGTCAAGAAGGATTTAAATAGAAGTGCTGCCTTATATATGAAATCCTACATATTATATTCCTATGATCAAGAAGAAATTATGATCTGTGGATTTGGGGCCCATTTCCCAAAACAACATTACACCACTTATTGAGAGAACACAGGTTGCATCTTTAGCCTCAAAAACAATTTAAAACAGGTAAGCAGTGGCCACAGGACTGGAAAAGGTCAGTTATCATTCCAATTCCCAAAAAGGACAATGGCAAAGAATGTTCAAACTACCATATAATTGCACGTTCTTCACAAGCTAGCAAGGTTATGCTCAAAATTCTTCAAGCTAGGCTTTAGCAGTACATGAATCAAGAACTTCCAGATAAACAAGCTGGGCTTCAAAGAGGCAGAGGAACCAAAGATCAATTTGTCAACATTCACTGGATTATTAAGAAAGCAAAGGAGTTCCAGAAAAATAACCTACTTCTGCTTTATCAACTATGCTAACACTTGACAGTGTGGATCACAACAAACTGTGGAAAATTCATAAAGAGATGGGAATACTAGATGACCTCCTGAGAAATCTGTATGTGGATCAAGAAGCAATAGTCAGAACCAGTCAAGGAACAACTGACTAGTTCCAAATTGGAAAAGGAATATGACAAGGTGGTATACTGTCACCCTACTTATTTAACTTATGCAGAATATATCATGCAAAATGTGGCTGGATGAAACACAAGTTGGAATCAAGATTGCCAGCCAGGAGAAATAGCAACAACTTCAGATATGCAGATGTACCACTCCAATGGGAGAAAGTGAAGAGGAACTAAAGAGTTGCTTGATAAGGGTGAAAGAGGAGAGTGAAAAAGCTGGCTTAAAATTCAATATTCAAAAAACAAAGATCATGGCATTCAGTCCCATCACTTCATGGCAAATAGAAGGGGAAAAGAGGAAGCAGTGACAGGTTTTATTTTCTTGAGCTCCAAAGTAACTGCAGATGGTGATTGTAGCCATGAAGTTAAAAGAAAGGAAAGCTATGACTAACCTTTCCTACTTGGAAGGCAAGCTTTGACAAACCTAGATAGCATATTAAAAAGCACCTGACAAAGGTCCGCATAGTCAGAGCTATGGCTTTTCCAGTTGTCATGTATGGATGTGAGAGTTGTTCCATAAAGAAGGCTGAGCACCAAAAAATTGATGCCTTCAAATTGTGGTGCTAGAGAAGACTCTTGAAAGTCCCCTGGATTGCAAGGAGATCAAACCAATCAATCTGAAAGGAAATAAACCCTGAATATTCATTGGAAGGACTGATGTTAAAGCTGAAGCTCTAATACTTTGGCCACCCGATGCAAAGAGCCAATACATTAGAAAAGACCTGATGCTGGGAAAGATTGAGGGCAGGAGGAGAAGTGGGAGGCAGAGGACAGGATGTTGAAATAGCACCACTGACTCAATGGACATGAATTTGAGCAAACTCTGGGAGATAGTGAAGGACAGAGGAGCCCAGCGTGCTGAAGTCTATAGGGTCAGAAAGAATCAGATATGACTTAAAAAAATCAGATACTGATTTTTGTAAACAATTTTTCATTAAACAAGTGTCTATTTCTATAACTAGGAAAGGTTTCTAAGTCAAACAACTGAACAACAACAACAAAAGAAGGAAGAATTGGTATATGTTGGGACTCAGTACCTTCCAGGACTCAAAGACAATAAGGCAATGTTCTGAATGTGACTGAAAATCATAAAATTTCAAAAGCAACAGAGAAAAAAAATTTCTGGAAAATTAAGTGATGAGTGAAAACATGGCCCATGCATACTTTGACCTGGCTTTATAAAGAAAAGGAAACAATCTTAAACCACACTGATAGCAAGGAGATGACACACTCTTCCTAGGATACATACCATATGTAACTAAAATTACAATACAGTAATCCATGTTTGTAAAAATAACCTTTAAAGATAATAAAATGTCAGTTACATTCTATACCCTCAATATGATGAAGACAGGTAAATATGATTCATTCCAGGAATGTTTTCATGACAAACAATTAAAAGAAGGTAAGCTCATAAAAAAGATAAGCATGTTAATCAGTTAATTACTACTTTAATTGTCTGTTAATAATAAATTTTATTACTATAAACAATTTCATTCCTCCCAGCATCATGACATCAATACATCCTATTACCTATTATTAAAACTAGATGCAATCATGGTTGTTTTGATTTTTGAACCATTAACCTCTAATATGTTTTTAAATTAGACAGTCAATAAGAATAGACATTTCCTAAAAGAAATTAGCCAATTCTGAAAGACAGATGTGGAGTAAAAAACAGACCTTAGAGTTTTCAAAGAGAAGGAGAAAGCATCAAGATAGTACTATTCCTAGAAACTCTGCCTACTGCTTTGACACTATGGGGACTTTATCGATCTAATTTATTTATTGTGAAGCCAAATCCACTTTCTCAGTGTTACTGCTGCATCTGTGACGCTGAATTCGATGTGAATGTGTATAGGTTTTGTTGTTGTTCAGTCGCACAGTTGTTCCAATTCTTTGTGCCCCCATGGACTACAGGGTTATATGTTTATGTATGCATATATTTGGGATTATATTTTTGAACTAAGGTGAGCTTCAGAAACTTATCTCCATGTAGTATATCTTTGACTCATAAAATGATTTTTAAAAAACTTAAATGTTTCATCTCATAAGCTTACGTCCTATGCAGTCTTACAGAAAAGAAAATGCCCCTCTACATCAAGGATTAAGCAAAGTAAGAATTTCAAAGAATATACTATACAAGCAAATCTTATGCATGTACTACAGACTTACTCATGTTTATTCTAGAATATGAGATGCGCACATTGAAAAATTGGAAGCAGTCTGCATTAAAAATTCAACAGTGCTTATGTTCTGAAATTTGATTGTAAGCCCCAACTATGTGTTACTAGTAGTTGTTGTGCAGAACAAACAAATCAACTGTGATCTAATCAGGAATATGTGACTAATACCTTTTCTATTTTCTGGAGATCACTGTTGCATACCTCTCAACATAACAGAAAACATTTAGTCCAAACTGTTTACAAAGATATAAATTTTAAAGAGAATCTTGCTTAAGCCTACTATATAAAAGGTTTAATTAATAAAGTTTAATTGCTATGACATTTATTTAAATTAATTATATTCCCACCAACATTTTACCTCTGGTCCTGGAGGGCCAGATGGCCCTTGGGGTCCTGGGTCACCTGTTTGGCCCTACAATGTGGAGGTTGGGGGAGAGAAATCAAAGTATAAACATTAATTTAATAAATATGATTGAAAAAGGAAACATAGTATGCAAAAACTACTAAATATATTATGTCACACAAAGTTGTAATGACTTTCTAGCAAACAGCAGTCAATATATTATTTCAAAGTTGTAACGACTATTCAGAAAGACAAAATCATCATCATTGTATGAAACTTATTATATAAGATGTGTATAGATCTATACATATATACCCCTAAATATTAGAGATACAAATTAATGGAAATCAAATGAAGGAAAAAAATTGTGGTGTGGGTGTGTGTTATCCAAAGATAAGAGAATAAAGTTTGACTTAATAAAGTAGGAAACTCGACATAGGAACTGCTTTCATAGACAACTAGAATTCTAGGATTGCCTCTGAAAAATTCTCTCCTTTGGTAACTATAAGGGGCCTGATTTAGTAATTAAGAATCACCTGGATTTAAATACCTGTTGCTTAATCTCTCTCAGCCTATTTTCTCACCAATAAAATAGGAATAATAATAATGTTACTAACAGTCTTACAGTCATTGTGAGAAATAAATGAGACAAATGTAAAGTGTTAAGCACAGTGCTTAGCACATAGAAAGTACTCATTAAATGTTAATCAATTTTATAACTATTAATCTTTCCATTCACATCCTCTCTCAACTCCTGGATGTTACCTAGAATTCCTAGATTACTTTGATCCTTTGATTAAACTTCTGAAGATCTGATTTCTATATCTCTGCAGCCATTTTCTGACATTCAGATTAACAATGTGAAATCAGGGCTGGAAAAGAAGGGTAAAAGCCTGATCCTGGAGAGGGTTGGTGATCCTCTCAAGAGTTGAAACTACAGAACATGGAAGGCCAATAGACTGATATCCTTGTTTTCATTAAAACAACTGAATTCATTATTTTTGTCATATTAAATTTCTATGTGAGCTTCAAATCTGACAACAGGTCACAGAATATATAAAATTTCTTGAATTTATTATACATAAACTCTACGTATCCAGTTTCTAAGAAGTGAAGCATAGTTTTCCATGCGTATTAAATTCATCCTCATACAGTGCTACAGTCTCTGGACTTAGGCAGTACACAGTACACCTACAATCAAACCTAGAGAAAAGCTGTAAAATATTATGCAGAAGTTCACTTAAGTTCCCCTAAATAAACAAAATCATACTCCATAGTGAGTATCTAAGGGATTCAAATTCTTGAAATGAAAAGTACCTCAGACAGACAGAAACAGCATTTTCACTGAGGCCCTCTAGTGGCAAAATCTAAACAAGACGCTAAATTTACAAGCTTGAGGAAAAAAAGGAATACAGCAGGCCTTTGTTATCAGAAAAGTTGATCCACAACCTGATGTTTAAGAACATGAACTTGTGGAATAATTTTATTTATCCTTCAGAAAAATTTTCATTTTGAAAAATTTCAACTGCAAGTTTCCTTGAATGTCAATTTACCTTTATAAAAATGTAAAGAACTGAATAATGATTAAGTAAACTTCTATAAATGGTAGCAACTTCTAGCTAAAAAATGAAAAGGACATAATTGACTTTGTTTTTTCTCTTTAAAAAAAACAATATGTCTTAACTTAAGATAGGTAGTTTTCTCTAGTTTTTAAATACTTACAGGGTAAAAGTTTTCCTATTTCAGAATGTTAAAAACCTTCTAGATCAGAACATTCTTTTATCTTGAAAACATTCTTTCATGTTACAACTTAGATCCATTTGAAAACAGTATCAGTGACACTAACATTGTAGATAACAGAAAACCAAAAAACCAAAGGTAGGAGACATAAAAGAATAAAGACATTCATATGACTTTGGCATTCGTTGCATGATAGGGAGCAAATAGTTTAGATAGACACTAACTTGTACAATTTATTTTTAATATAGTTGCTTATTTTTGTAAGAAATTTTTCATTAAACAAGTGTCTCTTTCCATAACTAGGAAAGGTTTCTAAGTCAAACATCTACAATTTTTAAAATAATACTAAGATACAAACAAACTGATAAAGTGAGAGTCTAAAGTCAAGGTGGTCTCACAAATAATAATTCCTAAGTCTCTTATCTTATCTTTAGTCCAAAGTACATATTTTTCAAGATTTGATAAAACGAAAAATAGTCAGCTGTCTCTGACCAAAGTAATCCCTGCTGATACTAACATTTTTTATTAGAATAGTACAGAAATGTATAATATGAACAAGTAAAAACCTCACTCTCATCATTAGCGACCCCATGGACTGCAGCCTACCAGACTCCTCCATCCATGGGATTTTCCAGGCAAGAGTACTGGAGTGGGTTGCCACTGCCTTCTCCGTTAATGCTGCTTACTTTGATACAACAATAAACAATCTAAAGATGAGAGGGTGGAGTTAGGGAAACATGCTGAAATTGCTCAGGAAAACAACACTCTTTTATAATGTTCTATTAATAAATTATAATTTTATATCTAATTTTTGGATCTGGAGAATTCCATGGACTGTATTGTCTATGGGGTCGCAAAGAGTCGGACATGAATGAACGACTTTCACTTCATTTTGGATCTACAATCACAGTCAAAGAGTTGTAATCAACATTGAAACCCTAAAACAATCTTAAAACACTGAAGCATAAAACACTATGGCACAGTGACTAAGCGCATGGACTCTGACATCTGTGGTCCCCAAGGTGTTCTTGGGTGATTACCAACTAACTATGGGACCTTGGGCAAGTTATTTAACTCTCTGCGTCTCACTTTTCCTCATAGGTAAAATAGGGATAATAATGGTACCAACTTCATATGACTGTTTTAAGGATTAAATTAGAAGTATAGGTTTTAGAATACTTCCTGGCATTTTATGAACACTCAGAAAATTTTAGGTATAATCATTACTATGATTTTTAATATGTAGATATATATCATTAACTCAAGTTTTAAACGCTCTATTTAAATGTTTTTAACTATTCAGTAACTTTAGTTTTATAGTTTACTGGGCTTCAAGTTAACTACAATACACAGTATCCTTTTATTTCAATTAATTAATGCACAAAGATTTAAAAAAGACAAGGAACTAGAATATTTGGGTCCATAGGAGAGTGTGACATGCTACCTTTTCTTCAGAATGTTCCCTTAATGAAACAGATATTTGAATAATTATGGTGTTATTTAAGCTTGCTTTATATTTTCTGGCTTAAAATCCACTGCTTAGTTTAAATTCTGTCTATAATAGATTAACCAAAATCTTTAAGGCTCATGGAAACTTGGCTTTGGACTGGGATGGAGGAGGTGAGCAGAGTGAGGCCCCATAATCTATGGACTGTAAGCTGAAAACTTCAAGGATTAGCTGTATTCTAAAACTGGAGAGAAAACGCCGTACTGGTAGACGTAAACCCTACTTCTTACATTCCACGAACACCAACAGGTATCAAGAGTCGTGTCATAGTGCGCACTCCACGAATCAGAAAGAACAAGCAAAAGTTCAAACCTACTGAAGGTCCTGGCTTTCCTCTCATCCCTGGTGGTCCAGGAAAACCCACAGCACCCTAAAACAGCAGTAAAGAGAGAAGTTTTACACCACGGGAGGCAGATGTGCCCCTACTTGCAAATTATTTTTAAAAGTCATGGAATTATTCTAAAAAAAATTGAGAAAATGTTTCAAACAAGACATGCAGAATCATATTGATATTATATCCTAAAAAAATACATGATTACAAATAATGAGTATTCCCTTCTTTTTAAAGAATGCATACATTTTCACTTTTTTTTTTAAAATTTATGTAAAACTAATGGTACCTTGTCTCCAGTATACCCTGTTTCTCCTAGCTCTCCTGCAATGCCTTGTTCACCCTGGGGAGCACAATTTCACACAAAGACACTTAAGCAATGCAAATGTGGCAATCAGAAGGCAAATACAAGTCATACAAGAATAATTTCTCTATTTCTCCTACTTTTGAGAAAACTTATGTAATTGATATTACAGATTGGATCCCGTATTTTAATAAAAATATTTTGTAAGTGGTGCTGACTCAAAAAAAAAAGTAAATGTGATAAAAAAAATTTATCTCTATGACAATGCAAATATTTAAATCACCTTATCACCTTTGATTCCAGGTAGGCCCTTATTGCCCGAAAGACCCTAAAAAAGAAAGTGACACTTTGTGACATTATAGAGAAATCAAAGTGAAATATCCATTATGTAAACAGAAACATACCACGGGGCCAGGGATTCCAGAAGGTCCAATTGGCCCCACAGGGCCAACACTGCCCTGAAAAGCAATAAGAAAGGTATCCTTGAGCACCACTAGGATTAAAAAGAGAGCATGGTAAACTTAAAATAATTCATCTTACTAATTTCCCATACATGCCTTGTTCTCTAACAACTTCTTTTCCTCTTTACATTGTAAATCATACCAATCATTCAAATTTTAGTGAGGTCTATTCTGCTTCCTTAAGCCTACTCATACTGATCTAATCTATTAGGATCCTTCTCTTCCTTGAGTTCTTATACTTACTATCCAAAGGATTCATTTCGAAATATTTCTCCAAAAAGATATCTTGATGATAGGGGAAATATTTTATTGCCATGTTCCCAGGAAGTATTCAAAAAATACTTCATTTGATTTTCTTAGATTTTTCTTTCACCAATTTATTCAGCAAATATTTACTGGGAAGTTACTATGTGCTAGGCATTCCAATGACTTCATGATCTATAACTTGCAGAGACAAAATTTACCATAAGTTCAGGGAACTGAGTAGTGAACAAAAAGCTCTACTCTTCTGGGTTGCTCTCATTCATTCATCATTTAACATTTATTGAGCAGAATATGTATCAAACATTGTAGTAGTGTTGTATGGTAGTGTCAGGAAACAAACATGAAAAAGACACAGTCACCAATATCAAGCTTTTCAATATAACTTCTCCAATGCAAGACTACACAAAAACATTAACTACCACTATAATCTCTTGCAAGCAAGAAACCCAGAAAAACTTCAACACGTCATCTTAAAATTTAAAGGACAATAGCAACTATAAAAGTTTCTGAAAGTAAAACTTGAAAAAATAGTGGAAATCTCTTTGACTGTTTGGAGATAATTTCTGTGTCAACGATGCCTTTTTCTTCTTTCTTTTCTCTTGCTACCCCCCTGTGCTTGGCTAACACATCATCCTTTATCTTCAAAGAGTTGCTTTCAACCTCCCTTTTATGCTTCCCAAATGTTTAGGAACTTTTAAAGGTGTATTTGTGATGATGTGGAAAATGTTGCCCAGTTTAGTTATAATCCATATTTCTTAGGACAGTATCCCAGACCCTTACTACCAGTTTTCCATCAGTACTTTCTGTCTCATCTTCTTCCACTTGTTCCTACTTGCCTTTTCCTTCTCCCTCCTCTAAATCCAACATTCTAGACAATGAACCGTTTTCTAGTCTGAACATACTCTCCCTTCTCACATCTCCAAGCCTTTGAAAATATAGCTTCCACTAATGGAATGTGCTTCTGCTGCAGTATGAAATATATTGCACTGTTTTTGCTTTTTTTTTAGTTGGTTTCCTTTTTTGTTTGTTTTCCTTCTGTCTTCCTCGTCTGTGCATTCTGTGAGTGTAGAAGCATGATTTATTCATTTTTTTATATCTCAAGCCCAACATAATAATTGACACATAATAGTTTTGAAATGAAGTGTGGAGGAAGAAATCAACTTTAAATTTAAAACAGTGATTTCTAGAGTGCTGACATTTCAGTACATTTCTAAGAGTCCACATTTATATACTACAAATTTCAGAATGGAAAATATGACATCTTTACTTTGGGGTGAGCCCTATAGTCTGTGAAACATAAGATAAATTATTCCCAACATATTTAATGCTGAAAAATATGAGACTGTGAGAGGCAGAATAATATTTTCCAAGTTAACAAATGGAAACACAGCATCAATACATCATTGACAAATTCCATTGATGGGAAGTATTCTTATAATTACAGTGGCTAGTTTATTCAAGGTTCGTAGCTTTAAAACTTCTGACAGTCATTCAAAATGTCTCTGTTTGGAAGTCACACAGCACTAATTCATGTAAGAAATGGAAAGGAATATCAAAAACAAATATTTCTTTATTGTCCTGTTGTTTTTCTATAGACAATATGCTTAATTCTTATTTCAGTAAATATACTACTGTGCATAGTCTGGCATCTTCAGATAGATATCCCTTGTATACACAATATTCTATTTTACTTTTTAGTAGCTCTGAAAGAAAAATCACAAATAGTAAATTTCAGGACGTATCAAAAAACATATTCATTATAAAGGACCGAGTGAAATAAAGAATTTGAAAGTAAAATGATATGGGTGTAGAAACTTCCAAGAAACATCAAATATGTTGTGGTATGTCACAGGTTGTATGGAAAATCCTACTCCTAAAAAACTACATACTCTGAAATCGATTCATGATAGATTAGTAACAGTTTTCAGTTCCATAAAGATAACCTGAAGGTCCTTCAACACTCCCTACCTACCACACTTCATTCCCATAAGAAGATGAAGCAGACAGAAGAAGTAATTTCATGCACTGGGACTTAGTAGAGGGTGTCTGGGATATAGCAATAGAAGCAAAAAAGCCTCCCACAGAGTGACAAATAACAGAGAACTATTGAGTCAAAGTCAATCAAAGAAATAGAGAGACCCAAGGGTAGGTTCTGACCAAAATAGCTGCTGCTGCTGCTGCTAAGTCATATCAGCTGTGTCCGACTCTGTGCGACCCCATAGACGCCAGCCCACCAGGCTCCCCCGCCCCTGGGATTCCCCAGGCAAGAACACTGGAGTGGGTTGCCATTTCCTTCTCCAACGCATGAAAGTGAAAAGTGAAAGTGAAGTTGCTCAGTCGTGTCCGACTCTTAGCGACCCATGGACTGCGGCCCATCAGGCTCCTCCGTCTATGGGATCTTCCAGGCAAGAGTACTGGAGCAGGGTGCCATTGCCTTCTCCATACCAAAATAGCAGCCACTAGCCAATTATAGTTCATGAGTGAACATATCACCAAAAAGATTGTGAATGCCATTATTGGGCTTTTCAATCATACCCAGCCACACTACCAGGCAATAATCACTGTTACTAATTGAGGAGGCATATGATAGTAACAATTAACTGCATGGAGAAAATAATCTAGAGAAAGCAGTATCACCTCTTGTCAGGAGCTATACCTGCCCTGCTGGAAGGGAACACATGAAAAGCAACAGTACAGAGCAAACAGTTAACCTGTTTACTATGGAACACCAAAGTTCACATAATCGTTCCTAATTGTCTTCAAAACCTCACCTGCTTCCATTCCTCTCCCATCACCCCATACTTCCCAGGCTGCAAGCCCACTCTGCCTCTTTTCATTTCCCAAACATTCCATTTCCCCCCACATCTGTGCATCTGAACACAGCCTTCTTCTGCCCAAGAGCCCCTTCCCCAACTCACCCCACTCACACACAGTCAACAAAACAACTTAAAAGACATCTCCTTGGTGAAGCCACTCTGATTTTCTAAGATAAATTGCTCCATTCTCAGTGGCTTGACTTGAGCCCATATTAGATTATAATATTGCAAGGAAGCAGGAATCTTAATTTGTTTATATGTATTTCTTAGGCCTGGCATCTAGTTCAGCATTTGATACACAGTAGGTGCTCCCACTATTTTGATTAAAATTGTAATAAATGTACAAGGGAGGAAGCAATAATACCTGTTCTATTTTAAAAATTAGATACATGTGAAAGAAAGTACTTTGGAAAGTATAAAATACCATCTCTATTTCTGTCAGAACTACAAAAATGACTGTTAGTTTCATAAGCCATTTTCATTTCTATAGAATCTCTTCCCACCTACCAAAGGGTGAATGGAGGAAGAGAAAGGACAGAAAACCCAGGTATTTTTATTGAGTATTATTATGTGTCAGGCACTGTGCTAAGGCCTGGAACTGAAAGATAAGTAATAGCTAACTATTGGGCAGAAAAGTAGAGCTTAAGTGTTTCAGGCAGTCAAATAAGTGCAAAGGCCATGTAGTGAGGAGGCTGCATCTGAAGAATGAACAGCTTGGCTTATGCACAGAGTATATTCTCAAGATGCAGAGAGGAACCAAAAGCCTAGACGTCGTAGGCCATGTTAAGATATTGGTCTGGGTCTTAAACATAATAATGGAAACTTTGGAGCTAACCAACCTTAATGCTAATAGGTCAGATTAAGAATGCAGAAAGTGTGTCTCTGGAGTCTAGCTGCCTTCCCCTGCTTCCCGTCTCTCCCCACTGCTAGGGCCAGTGACTACCACTTACAGGTACAGCCCTATTCTAAATTCTGAGAAAAGAAATTGATCATTTGGGCTCTATCTTCACATAGAGTTTCTCAGGACATCTAAAGAAATCTCTTAAGAGATACAATACATATTTTAAGGTTATAGAAGTTTTAAGGAAATGGTATAGCACAAGGGGGAGAATTCTAAACTCTGGATGTACATCACCTGGCTCCAAATCCAAGTTCAACACTTATAAGCTAAATGGTCTTAGGCTGTTCTGAGGATTAAATTACCTAATCTTTGTGACTAGCACATAGAAAATACTAAATGAAAGTTAGCTGTTATTGCTAATTTTATTACAATTACTATATTAATATTATAGAAAAGTCTGAAAGTCTTAGACTAACGGTAGTTTTTTAATTTTCAATTCTATATTCCTGCCATCCCATATGGGAAAGTTAAAAACCTATTATGCTGATTTCTACCACAGTTCCAATAGCTAAACTTCTGAAAGGTATTCCTTTGGCCAGGCCACCACCTTCTGCCATGGGTCAGTTAAGATGGGGGAAAAATTTTAAATTTGTAGTCAGAAGACCTGTGTTCAAGTTCAAGCTAAAAATACTGTAGCTATAATTTATGGTCTAAAACTCTGGAGTCTTAATTACCTACTTTACATATTAGAGTGAGCTCTAAATTGATTTTTAAAGGAAATTTTACCTCTGCCATGGTCATACCCTACTTTTATGTGAATAGAAATAGGCTTACCTTTAAGATTCTATTTTCATTAGGCTCCTTACATTTCATAAAAGTATGTCATTCTTGCTTTTAGTTGAGTTTTCAATGTTAAAGCATGTGGCTCTAAATTTATATACCATATCTGTAACTTATATCCCTGTCATGAACCAGAAGTTTGGATGAGAGAAATTTATATTTATGAAGACATACCAGGAAGATACATATGACAGTTTGATTAGTCAAATAAATAATCAAAAATGTATCAGAAAGACATGTATCTGGACTGGATTGTTTTAGCCTTCAAAGAACTGCTTTTACTAAACTGTAGTTTGATGACATCAGAAACTTTAGTGAAACTTAAGAGTTGAATTTACTGTATAAAAATTAATTAGGTGAACAAATAATAGTTACTATTTTAGGGACAATAAATAAATGAGGTATAAAAATGTTCAATGGTACTGGTGAAGTCTGCCTCCTACCTTTTGTTCAGTATGACTTTCCTAATCATTTATTTAATTCTATCTCATAAAGCCTACAGTTACCATGTGCTTTTGTTTAGTCCTATCTGTCTCTCCAGACCAGATGGTATGAAAGACTACCTCAAAGGAAAGAAGTGGCTGTTCTAGGTCTCATACTTCTGGAGAAACTGAATCTTGATTAAGCATTCTTCAATGAAACAGACAAATACACATTAACCTGTAAAAATCTGTTATTTTAACTTATCATAAAATATAATTCATTTTTAGATTCATATTACTAATCAAATTTGCATATCTGGCAGGAAAACATGTGTGAGTAATGTTGATATTCAACAATGACACTAAAATTTTCTTTATCCTAAAGTTTGTAAAACACATTGAACAAATATAAACACACACAAAAGAATTTTATAAGAAGGATGATATTTGATACTTACTCGAAGCCCAGGAAATCCTGGAGGACCAATGCTACCTATAAGTCCCTATGTAATAGAAATGTGAAAAATTGGTTAAATTTGATTCCAAACTAAATGTATTTTCTAAAGATGAAGACAAAAATTTCTAGGAAAAAATATACCAAATTTTACCCTCTTCTAGCTAACTTCGGCAACTTCCCTACTCTTTTGCATCCTAAGAAGTGCAATTCTTTGGTGGCAGCTAATGTTCTATAAAAGCATCCCAGGCTCCATGCTTTTGGATGCCAGGACTACCACCTCACCTGGGATAATATATTTCTCTGTCTGTTATGTGAGTAAGTCTCATTAATAATCAGCATTATAGACATAATATTAGCCTACTGTTGTTGTTTAATCTCTAAGTTGTGTCTGGCTCTTTCTGTGACCCCATGGACTGTAGTCCACCAAGCTCCTCTGTCCACAGAATTTCCCAGGCAAGAATATTGGACTGAGTTGCCACTTCTATTCCAAGGGATCTTCCTGACCCAGTGATCAAACCCATGTCTCCTGCATTGCAGTTGGACTCTTTACCACTAAACCGCCACGGAAGCCCTAATTAGCCTATATGTAGTGAGAAAAGACAGGATGGTCAACTTGTTAGGTGAGAAGAACATTTTCAGATGACTTAAAACACTGTCAGCTCTTTTGAAGTACTTTATTTAAATTGTCTAAATTTCTCATTTATAAAACAGATATAATATTTGTTTTCATTTTGTAAAAGAACACAATGAAAACTGTTATATAAAAGGTTCTGAAAATTTCCATAAAGCACTATACAAATGTAAGAAATTACCAATATAGTTAAATTATTTGTACGAGGTTTTAAACTATCATTTTTCCAGTTGATTCTTGAGGAGCCTTTGTGAGTCTTTTGACCTCATCATTACAGTCCTTGTGATAACTTCTAATCTATACCACATCAGTGTTATATCATTTACATGGTACAAAGTATAAGAATAAACCTCCCCTTTTTTCCTGCATTTAAACTGTTTTGAAACAGAGGTGTAGTATAAAATTTAAGAATTATAAACCAATACACTGAAAATATCCAGTTTATTCTTGCATTTTAAAGATGACTCAAAATGCTCTTCAAGCAGTGTAATTTAAGTATAAAAAGCAGATTTCAAAGGGTAAAATGTTAATATTTTTTAGGAGTCCAACTCTAAAAAATTTCATGTATACTTGACAAGATGGTTTCATACTAAGTGTGTAAAGACATAAATGGTATAAAAGAAACATGTAAATAATGCTTAACTTTATTACGCCTGAAATGAGAAGCTGCTCAGAATCATGGGAAATAAAAAGATGACAAACATTTTACTTAAGACTGATTCAATTTTTTAACAGTTTGCTTCAAAATCAGTCCTACTCTTATTTTATCTTCCAAGCCTTATAACAAAACTTTTGCTAAATTCAATGCATAAGCTAACATAGTTTATACCTTAGAAAATGAAATAAAAGGAAACTATTTTCAAACACTATTTTATTTACAGATGTCTAAATATAGGAATTATTCCTAATTTAGGCAAAACAGCATTCCATCATTTTTTATAATATGTTAGTTTTAGAATTTTAACTCCCTGATCTGAATACAGATATCTAAATGATCCCCTCAAAGACTTCTTTATGAATTACTCAAAAGTAAGGTAGGTCAATAATAGGTTTGAGTCCAAAAGAGCAATCACTAAACGCACAATTTTTACATGAGGCTTGTTAGTACCTTGATATATATGAAAGGCGTCTTTCCCATGTCCCCCCACCCCCACTGAATATACAAGTCAATATTGTGATTGTATACTTCTAATATTTTACTTAGTAATGTATAACATAGTCAAGATACTGAATTGTAAAGATCATCTCAAGACAGAATTTATAGCACTTTGTTTTACTTCTCTTGTAAAATCACAAAATGGAATGTGCTCAGTGGTATCACAATTGTCTGGTCAAGAGTGTTTGTCAGGAATGTGGTAATGAGCATGACAAGCACGGTTGCTATGGAATCCAAATGATGCTAGAGTGCAAGGGTGGACCTTCACTATTTACTCACAGGACTGCCATCAGGACCCGCAGGGCCTCTGTCTCCAAAGTCACCTGGAAAACCCTAACCCAAGGAAAGAGAAAGAAATGCTGTTAAAACCCAAATAAGGAATTCATCTTTGCTTTGTTTTCAGGTAAAGAACTTAGTAATAGGAAGTATTTATTTCCTAACCTATAAATTGTAGTGCAACAAAAATGTGTATTTGTTTTGCATAAAACATCACTGATTTTTAAGTACATAATTTCTATATTTTATAAAGATTACTTTACATGCCACAAAATATATACAGAAAGATAAGCTGGAGGAAACAGAAATGTGTTCATCATTATATAAAGAATCACTGCATTAGAGGAAATACAATCAAGATTTCCAACTGACCAATTCATTAGTTACATCCACTATTTCATGTTGTTCGTATACACCCAGCACAGAAAATGAAATGGCTAATAACACTGAGCATAAGCTTAGTACACTTATCTTGTGCAAAAGGCTTTACGCACATTGTTACATATACATTACTTCATTCCATCTTCACAGCAGGTCAAATCAGTGAGTATAATATTCTCACTGTGCAGCTGAGGAAACTACAGTGTAAAAGAGTTAAGTCACTTGCAATTTCTAGTGATGGGTGGGACCAAGATTTGAATGGATGCAGTCTGACTGCAGTCAGCTCTTTTTTACTTTCTATATGAATACTGTAACTCATCACTTCAAGATATGATACAATATGTAAGAACGTCATTTAAGAAAAAGAAAAATGCCTATAAATATTACAAATACAAAATGGGATGTCACTGAAATATAGCCTTCTTAAATGCCTACTGAGAATTCCATAGAGTAAAACTATTAAAGGCAGTAAATTAACATACTTTCTAATTATAACTTCTATTGTAAAATAACTCAATTACTTAGTTACTCTTACTTTACATATTCAAGATTTCACCAGGGATTTAGCACTGAGTTTATCAACTTTAAAGCTCACTTGTAAGAAGACTACTTTATGGGACTTCTCCAGTGGCACAGATTTACAAGCTGGATTTAGAAAACGCAGATGAACCAAAGATCAAATTGCCAACATCCGGTGGATTATAGAAAAGGCAAGAAAATTCCAGAAAAACATCTACTTCTGATTTATGGATTATGCCAAAGCCTTTGACTGGGTGGATCACAATAAACTGTGGAAAATTCTTAAAGAGATGGGAATACCAGACCACCTTACCTGCCTCCTGAGAAATCTGTATGCAGGTCAAGAATCAACAGTTAGAACCAGACATGGAACAATGGACTGGTTCCAAATTGGGAAAGTAGTACGTCAAGGCTGTATATTGTCACCCTGCCTATTTATATGCAGAGTACATCATGCGAAATGCTGGGCTGGATGAAGCACAAACTGCAATCAAGATTGCCAGGAGAAATATCAAAAACCTGATATGCATATGACACTACCCTTATGGCAGAAAGCAAAGAAGAACTAAAGAGCCTCTTGAAGAAGGTGAAAGAGGAGAGAGAAAAAGTTGGCTTAAAATTCAACATTCAAAAAACAAAAATCATGGCATCCCGTCCCATCACTTAATGGCAAATAGATGGGGAAACAATGGAAACAGTGAGAGACTTTATTTTGGGGAGCTCCAAAATCACTGCAGATGGTTACTACAGTCATGAAATTAAAAGATGCTTGCTCCCTGGAAGAAAAGCTATGACCCACCTAGGTAGCATATTAAAAAGCAGAGACATTATTTTGCCGACAAAGGTTTGTCCAGTCAAAACTATGGTTTTTCCAGTAGTCATGTATGGATGTGAGAGTTGGACTATCAAGAAGGCTGAACACTGAAGAATTGATGCTTTTGAACTGTGGTGTTGGAGAAGACTCTTGAGAGTCCCTTGGGCTGCAAGGAGATCCAACCAGTCCATCCTAAAGGAAATCAGTCCTGAATATTCATTGGAAGCACTGATGCTAAAGCTGAAGCTCCAATACTTTGGCCACCTGATGCAAAGGGCTGACTCATTAGAAAAGACCCTGTTGCTGGGAAGGACTGAAGGCAGGAGCAGAAGGGGACAACAGAGGATGAGATGGTTGGATCACTGACTCAGTAGACAAGAGTTTGAGCAAGTTCCGGGAGATGGTGAAGGACAGGGAGGCCTGGTGTGCTGCAGTCCATGAGGTCACAAAGTTGGGATACAACTGAGTGACTGAACAAGAACAACCAGTGGTGCAGTGGATAAGAACCTGCCTACCAATGCAGAGGACACCTGTTCAAGCCCTGGTCTGGGAAGATTACATGCCTCAGAGCAACTACTGGCGCCACAACTACTGAACCCGAGTGCTGTAACTACTGAAGCCCACGCGCATGTTCCCTGTGTTCTGTAACAAGAGAAGCCACCACAATGAGAAGCCTGCACACTGCATCAAAGAGTAGCCCCCACTCGTCGCAACTAGAAAAAGCCCTAGTGCAACCAAAAATAAATTATTTTTTTAAAAAAGACTAAAAAATCCTTTGTAAGACTTATTTCCAACAGTTTGATAGCATTCATTTATAAAAACTTGTAAGACTAACAAAAATAAAAGCACATTATTTGATTTGTTATAGTCTTTTACTTAGGCAAGCCAGTATTAAATATTATGTTTAACAAACTGCCAGAAATCACTGCTTCACTAATACAAACATGAATGGACTAAACTGAAAAGATGTTTTAAGAATGGGGGAAAAAAAGGTATGATGTTTCTAAGACACAGTTAATTCTTACTAGAAGCAGTTTCTCTTATTTTGTAATTAGAGGATAATGCAAAAATCATCTGTGAAGTCAAACATATTGCACCTATACCCCCTTTAAAATCAGTTGAAATTCAGACAGGGATTTGCTTTCATTGTCCTCAGAAGTCAAATGCTGTTGCCAACAAGCTTAAAAATCTACAATACATCATTCCATTCAGTATGATTTATTATGGGCATTTGAAAGTTTTTATGACATACAGGTAATGGAAAGAGTAGAATTAAAACACTGTAATAAATCTGAAGTATAAGAGATGATTGATATTTTTAGACAGATCCTAAGTAAGTTTTCCAGAAAACTCAGTGAAATAATAAACAGTAGGGGACACAGTGCATGATTCCACTGATATGAAATGTCCAGAACAAGTAAATCTACAGAGATAGAAAGTAGATTACTGATTGCCTAAAGCTTGTGATGTGGTGAAGAACTGGGGGGTGACATCACATAGTTTCTTTCTGAGATAATGAAAATGTTATAAAATTAGACAGTGTGATGGCTGCACAAATCTGTGGCTATACTAAAAACCACTGAATTCTACACTTTCAAGGGGCAAATATATGTAAATTATATGTTAATAATTTTTTCTTTTAAGTGCAATTGGTCTAAACAAGAAGCTAGATTGCTAAAATCATTTTTGGGGACTCATTCAGGATGCCTAGAAGATGTGATCTTTGAAACCCATTGGTCCCCTACCCTCATCCAGTGGGAGATGCTGCTCTCCAGTCCAGCCTCCCACATAACTAATGATTTCTCCCTGGGGAGAAGAAAGAGACCTGTGACTAGTTCTCCACTTATCACAAAGCCTGTATTCCCTACGACCAACATAAAAACAGCAAAATAAGTACTTATGAATTTCAACTTCCTATTCTTCTGGTAGTTCAACAATATATATAATAAATATTAGCTGCCCAATGTTACTTTGCCCTGAAACAATTTAGTTGAACTGAAACTGTATCTACTTTTAAAAATTTTATGTATTATTTCTCCTCTCACTTTGCTACCCTCTAAGCATTCCATTTCATTTTTAATTTCTCTGTTCTAGATAGAAAAAATTTATTGTTTTTATCCATCTTATATATTGACCACTGTATTACCAATATTTGAAATAATTCCTATTACATCTAGACATTTTGTTTTATGAAATATAGTACAGTTAATGTCATAGAAAAGCATCATTTGGCTATATTGGTCATATATTTTCTTTTGAAGAAAATCATGCCAGTGTTTTATAATGTTGCATATGCCCCTGCTTGTTCATGCTTTATTCAGTTGTTATTTCAATTCTTCCAACTACATGTATGTTTTTTTTTCTTTTGTAATGCAGGAAGAGCTCTGAGTTCCTTTAATAAAATGAACCTGTTTGCAGCTATATTATCTCCATTGTTAAAAAAAAAGGATCTGAAAGATTGATTGTGAAATATGGAACAATAGTGACATAACACTTTGCCTTTGAACTTAGAATACAAAGGAGTTTCTAGAGTTTCTTTTTCTCCTTGAAAAAATACATTGCAAAATGAAATAATAAATTTTCTCTCATATTTACTTTGTGGAAAATTATAACCACTAATTTAATCAAATTGAGTTTTCCTACCAAAGGATATAATGGCCAATTTGCAGGTTATCATCCATAGGAAAGCTTGAGTTTTTGCCCTTTTTGCTCAACTTGCCAGTTTCATAAATGGCAAGTTGGCTTAATGGCATTTTAGCATAAATGGCAATTTATCATCTTCTAAATGGGCATGCCAGAGTCGCACTGTTGCTGCTATGAACATAATTCTCTTTCTTACATTTTTATTGTTTTGATCAGTTACACAATTTCATTTTGTAAAGATTTATTTTATAAGGGACTTGACTTGATCTCTTCAAGTTGTTCATTTCCACTGCTTGATCACTGCAGTGAACAGACTTTAAGGTGACTCCTCATGATTCCTACCTCCCGGGGTCCACAGCTTTGTCCAAACCCTTCCTTTGAGTGTGGTGGGGCTATGATTTGCTTCTTCTAACAGCTAGAATATAGTAGAGATGATGGGATGTCACTGATGTGATTATGCTATACCACACATAAGTCTACTTTAGCAGTCTGGAGCTAGAATCTTCCCATGTGAGCTTGATGAAACAAGCAGCTGTGCTGGAGATGCCTACATGGCAGGGAACTGTGAATGACCTCAAGGAACTGCTGCCAGTTTACAGGACCTGAAGGTGGACCATATCACAAAGAAAAGCAAAAAGCCAGGATCCTCAGTTCTACAACCTCAAGGAGAAAAATTCTTCTCACAACCTGAGTGAGCTTG